ATGGAACGAAGGCATTGTTACCATGGTAGCGGTTTTATTCCAATAGAAATCGTGCATCAGAATATCGTGAATCTTCGATACGTTCAACTTGGGCAACTGACACAGAAGCTTGCCGTACAGCTGATGATTCCGCAGCTGGGAATTCAGAATTTCGAGGGGGATCGTGACGCACCACGAGCAATCTCTGAAAGAAAACTTTCCTAATAAGCCTGGCTGGAGCGTAATAAACAAATTCCGCGAATGCTGGCAGAGAACCGTCGCTTACTTGGCATTCTCGGCGGAATTCAGAATGTTCGCAGCGATCGTGAAGACTTTCTTCACCGCCAAGTGGGCGAGCGCAGGCAAATCCTGAGGAGCGAATTTTCTTCGTAAAATGCCTGATAATTCGACGATAAATTTCGTTTCGCTGGAATCTCAATACATACCTCGTTTCTGTATTGGGTCAAAAAATCTTCGAGCGTGGCTTCCTTGAAGGACGTCCACCATATTGGAACCTTCGAGTCTTTGTAACCTTCCGAGGCAGCTCGAATTATCGTCGACTCGACGTGCTCCAGTTTTTTCAGCAAGTAACTCTCGTCGTACACGTCCGACCAGTTATTCCATCTTCGTCTCTCCTGCAAAATATCCGCGCAAGAACGAACGTCGTTTGTGCAGCGAAATGTTATGAAAGTTGTGTAATTTAGTCGAACGTCGTACCTCAAGCTTGACATCAACGGGCAATATATCGATCAAAGTCAGCCGTCTCTCGTTGAGAACGATCTTTTGGCAGAAGTTGGTGACGCTCGACAAAAGGACCTTCTTCCGTACGAAACTGGGCACGATCAAATATTTGTCGATGTCGCACGGGTGTACCTTGCCGAACGAGAGTTTCTCCGCGAAATCGTTCAATCTCTCCGACTTCACGAAAGTGTCAACACCGGTGACGGCGAGGTTCGGCAGGTCTTCTATCAGAGTTAAGATAGGTTTCACCCTCGAATTCTCGTAGATGGTGCGAAGCTTTTGCCAAATATCGCCGCCGGTCAGTAACTCGACCGAGGCGTCCAGAAGCTGATACGCTCGGGCCAATTTCGTGAACGGGTCCGTCGCCCCGTTTAATCTCGTCTGATTTTCGCTTTCGACGAACCTCATGCTCTTACGGATCCAGGTTTCACCGGCTTTCCCGATGACAGACCACGTCTCGTTCGACAAATTCCTCCAGGTCGTTCCATTAAAAATTCTCGACTTTATAACGGAAACGTTATCCTCCTGCCACGCTTGGAAGTTCAACGCCGTGTCCAACAGTTTGGTAACGGAGGAGCTTAGGGATGTTAATTTTGATAACGTAGTCTGACCGGTCACGAGAGACTGTTGAAGAGTTCACGGTGTTGAAAACAACAGAGATAGTCTTTGTAAGATTTGGCTCAACTTACGTAGTATTCCGCGCTGGTGACGCTCTTCAGCAATTGTTCGGGGTCGAAGGAGCATATTTCATTCACGAATCGAGTTCTGTTCGGTGTGGACCAATAGCTCGAGTTGAACCGATAGTTGCACATGGTTCTCCTTACATCCTCGTACGACGTGAAAGCATTTGTCGACGAATCGAGCGTGATGAGACTAGCCAGCAGAGCGATCGTTTCCTCGGCATGATGGTCGAGGATCTTCAACAACTGGCGGGCATCGCCACTCTCAACAAAGTCCCAAACATTGATGTCTCTATTCTCGGTGTTAATATTTTTCATTGCGTTCGTGATGTGATTCAAACCCTCGGCGACACCCTCGACAAAGATTCTGTAATTACTCCTTCTTAAATCCTGGAACATCGTATTGGTCACAAACATGCTGACGAAACTTGACTCGAATGCTCAACGAAACAATTGACTCACCTTCTCTTGCACCGTCTCTTCGTCGTGAAACTCCAAAGCGTCCTTGAGCCTCTGAAGAGTAGTCGACAGATAAGACATGGAAAATGGAATCTCGATTTCCACGTCCTTGTCCTCCGTGCGTCTGATGATGTTCCGAACTTCAAACGCAAATTCGTACAAGTCACCAATCGACGTGATCGTGTACGATCGATAGCTATTGACAGGCTTCGACCATAGACTTTCCTCGGCCATGTACAGGTCGGTGTAAGCGTTGAAGTTGTCAGGGACAAGGTCACAGGTGAAATTCTTCAAAATCCTATATTCCTCGGTGGTAAGGCCAACGACGTGATCTGACCACCATTCGAATAATCGAGAACAAGTGACATTGTCTGATGACGTTACTATGCGATTGCCGACGTCCGACGTCGATAATCCATTGATCAGCGTGGCCAGGACGTAGTGCAGCTTGTTGTAATAAATCGAGATTGGCGTTTTGTCGTTGAACCCCAGCAGAGGAAACAAGCTAAATTTTACGGATTTTCCCGAAGACTGTTGCAACGCAGCTAAAAAAAAAACGTGGGGTAAATTTTGATAATTTCACGAACGTAAAGAATGTAGAAGCCTAGAGACTGTTTGGCGACACTCACCATCGCGTAAAATATCAGTCGCAGTCTTTACCGTTTTGTGAACAACGTGCGAGATGTATTTTACCAGAAGGAGAACTCGATCCTCGATGCGAATCGTCGGGGTCCAAATTTCTTTAGCCGAAAGGTGATTTTGGAAAACTGTCACTATCTTGTCTAATTCGTAGTCAACGTATTCTAGCGTGTTTCTAAATAAAAAAATACATATAAAAAATATATTAAGAAATTCATCTAAAGGTCGTTGAGCATTAGTTGACAGTGGCAACGTCCTTACTTCGCATCGTTCTTCATATCCGGCCACCTATTGTTGAATATGCTTTTAACTTCCGGCACGAGGGACTCCAAGTGCTCCGAGAAATTCGGTTGTTCCGCCAGGACAACTTCTTTCACGTCGTTGACCAGATCGTCGAGCTTCTTAGCCTGTCGGCGGAATATTATGTAACCCAAAGTCCAATTGAAGGGGGGAGATTGAATCACGTTGTCACGCTGAAACTGTCATGTTCGATCATTGAGCATCGCCAACAACAAGTAGCCAAGTAGGAAAGAAAAAATCCTTTCTCAAGCTTCGACATACAATTTTCTTCGCCCTGGCAAACACTGCTTGCTCTCTCCATTCTTGAATAAACAAAGCTGGATTACAGGATATCCTCTCGATCTCTCTTATTATTTCCCGAGTGCCGTCCCGCATTTCCATGGCGGATCCGACGCTCTCGTTTTGCACGCAGGGCCAACGTTCCTCTCGCGACTTGTAATCGTCCAGGACAGATATCTGGCGGAGGAAAACATCACGGTTTTCAGGGACGAAATTTCGAATGAAATTTCGACAGCTTGCGATCAGCTTACGAGATGAATCGGCTTCATGGTGACGATATCGACGACGTCGAGAATCAAAGGCGACAAGTTTCGCAGGAAAGCGCTCAAAAGGATCTCCGTCTGCGGCATATCCTGCAACACCTCGGAGAGCTTCGCTGTATGATCGTTCTTCTGGATTTGATCAACGATCCTCTCGATGTTCTCGAAGATCACCGACGACGCCCAAGCGATCGCGTGCATCTCCTTCCACATCCCTCTCGCGCGGAACAGAGGGCTCTCCATCAGGTTGAAGAACTTGCAGATCAAACCTACGCTGCAGAAAGATGCAACGTGTCACCGAAATGAATGTCTGCCGTTGAAAAGAATGGTAACGAAGAAACAAAGGGGACATTTTATTCCGTTGCTTGCGTACCTCATCTCGAAGACGTCTTTCGCGCCTACGTCGAGGCTCCAAGACGTTTGAAACTCCTCCTTCAATCTTTCCAATCTAGTCGCGTCGTAGTCTGAATTCTCCTGATGGACCAAAGTGTCGACGTAACGATAAATCTCGATCGTTCTCGCGTTGAAGTTCGTCCAATTGAACGGCGCTCTGTTCCTGTAACGGATTTCCTCCGTCTGCTCCATGTCCGACATGTTCATCTCCAAGTCCATTTGCACGGACCTCGAGATGCGACAGATCAACGCCTTCAGTACTGTTTCGTTCGAGCCTTTCGGGAAGTTTATCAAGTCCGGCGGGTTCGGATTCGTGCAATAGGTTCTCGTGAAATTGTCATACTCTAGAATTTTTAGAGCCTGCAAAAGTAAAAGGAAACTGTTGCCTTTAATAAATCTCACTGTGCCCAACATGTTCTCGTTGTCGGAAGACCCGCTGAGTTTGTGAAAGAATTACGCGATTGTTTACCTTATCCTTGTCGGTAACTGTCAAGTAGAACGACTCGATCAATTCCATCTTCCGCTGTCTGAACTCGCCGATCCAGCTCGTGGGATTCTTCTCCAAGTCCTGCAAGATCATCTCCGCCAGTATGTCCATCTTCTTCAGGTCTGGCTCGATAACGTTGTAAGTTAAACTATGAGAACCGATCATTTTCGCGATGCTCAAGTGGATCGCCAGGCTGGAGAGAGAAAAGAGTCAATTAAGAAAATTTAGAGCAAATAAGAACTTGTCTAAATTGTCAATTACTCACAGGTTCAATCTTCCTTGGGCTCGAGTTTCTTCGAAAGCATCGTCCCATTTTTCGTTGAACTTGAACACGGTCCAGTCAGGCTCCGGCCTCTTCGGCGAGTTCAAATGCGACACCAATTCCCTTGTGTTGCTGACGAGCGAAGTTAGATTCGATTTCTCGATGCTGACCACCTTGTGGAACACCATGCTGAACACCGTGGACAAAGCGTCGTTCATCTATCAAAGGCCAGCCCCGTGCAAAATCATGAGAACGAGGAATTTCGAGAATCGAGGATACGAGGGGAATACAATGCTTACTATGCTCTCGAAGTTCCTCAGCGCGAAACTTTCGTACACATCGCGGATGAACTTTTTCCCGGCATCGTTGCACACTATATCCTCGATATACCTAGATTCGTTCCCCACTTTGGAAAGCTGGAAGATCTCGTTCAACGTCTCCCCCTGACAAAAGAAATCCTCCGCTCTGCTGAACTTGACTTTATCCACGAATCTCTGCAAAACGTGTAAGAGTCGTCTCTCAAGTCATCTCGCGTTCTCATCGAGCGCGAAATGTTGATAATGATCAAGATGTTTGCCAACCTCGACGAAGTTCAAGTTGGAGAACGATTTGACGAGAGTTCGATAAGCGTTCGGATCGAGGCTCGTCAACAGTTTCTCCACCGTGTCCTTGTGATTTATGGAAATATCGTAAACTCTGTACTGAACGTCCTCGTGAATGACGGCGGCATGATGCAACATCCTGACTATGATCCGCATAAAAGATACGACGTAGCTCAACGTTGCTAGGATGTTGTCTGACAAAAAATTCGTGAGCCCATCCAGAATTTCGGCTGGCCTATAGAAAGTGGCCATTCCCTAACTCGTAAATATCTGAATATAACGAATAACAAACAATGAAAATATAAACAATCGATAGGCCTCACAGTTGAATGTCGTCGATGTGACGGTCCAAGATGCTTTGCGTCAGTTTGGCGCCGTCGTGCAGAATGGAAATGCCCAGATCCAGAATTTGTGTGAGATTCTCCGGATTCGCCATATTGTCGAACATAAGTTGAAACCCGCCGGATAAACGCTGCACTAGTGTGAAAAAACTGTCGGACGAGTCGACGGTAGTTCGATCGTTCAACGTTCGTTTAGCCAGCTCGAGTAACTTTTGCAACTTGGAGAATGCTTGGCGCACGGTCGGCCAGTCGCGCTCCCTCGAGAACACCGGGTCCAAAACTCGCAGCGATTTGTTCACGCTACGATTATTATTACATTCGAAAATATACATCTGTCTTATTTTTCTCGTTTCTACTGAGAGGAAGATTCATTTGACATTTTAATGCCTTTTAGTGCGAAGATACTAGGGGTAAAAGTTATAAAAGTTTAGATAGAAAGGCCTGTTAGAAAAAAAATAAATAACATCGTTGTTCGGCACTAAAAAAGGTTTAGAATCTGATTACTCACAAAGTCAGGTCAATCTCTTTGAACGTGACGTTCTTAAACGTTGTTATTATCTTTGGCAGCCATTCGCGTATCTTCAAATACTCCGGGATGTACTTCTTCACGGTCTGCAGCTCGAGGATCGTTTCCACCGCTCTCCTCAGGTCGTCGAAAAAATCGTAGTCGCGAAACTTTGCCATTACCCGGTCGACCATCTCCAGTAAGCCGGAAAAATCAAGGTGCTTGGACAAACTCTCGAGCATGTCGGGTATCATACCCGAGTCGATGTCGCAGAGGATCTTGGAGATCTCCGCGTAGTCCTGTTCGTCCCGTAGAATCAGGTACTTCTTCAAACTTTCCGGTGAACAGATCACTCCGTCGATATTGGACGAGCCGAACGCCTCGACGAGCTGAAAATCGGTCGGAAATAAACGTTGAAAACAATTCCGCCGGGAAGGAAGTTGCCCCGGGCTTAATTAGACGATATATACTGACGTATAGTAACTTTATAGACGAGTTGAACAGTTGGTCGATCAATCCGCTTCGCGCGTACGGCATCTGAAGCCTGAGGTGGTCCTTGATTTCCTCGTGGTTGTTGAACAGATCACCCAATCGAATGCCTCGATCTAGTTTGACAAATTCAATGCTCGATGTAAATTCGTCGCAGTACCCGCGTGATGGTAAATGAGATGTCGGGCAACTCGTGCGTACGTACCGAACAGCGATTTGATTTCCGGTCTGGTAAGTATCTGCGCCATTGATTTCAGAAGCTGGATGCTATTCGGCAGCGTGCTGATAGCGGAAAGAATCGTCTCGTTACCGAGCATCGGCTGCAACTCAACCACCAACGGGCCTAGACTGTCGTAAAAAATGACAATTTTCTTATCGAGATAAACCTTACTTGGAAAGCGTTTCACGCCACTTTAATTTCCGTCACTTTGCTTTAATTTAGTTTGATCATTTCTCCCGCGGAGAAATTCAAACGAGTTCTCGAAATTAACCCTTCCACATCAAAGGGCAGACTACGTTACGACAGATGATTAAGAACGAGCAAGTGATTAGAAGGGAAAGCCTCGCGACTTTCTTCTACTAACGTGGCGTTTCTGTAAGAAGGAACCTCTTCGTATTCCGACAGAGGGTCGCAGGGATTCCCAAGGCTGCAGATGAAACTCTGAACGAACGGCAGCAGACCGTTCTGTGGCATCGACCTCGCAGGAAATTGGCAAGTTGGATAGTACCTCGGATCCACGTTGTCACGAATCGTGTACAGGATCATGAACACGACCACCGGCCATACGAACACCAGAGCCAATATGCCCTAAACATTAAAGTTTATGCGTTTCACCTTTCGTCGTTCGTAACTCTCTGCACTGTTTAATAATAATTACCGGTTGGCGTTTTCTCACGATGTAGTTCTTCCATAAGAGCAGCCCGATTTGGTCGACCCTCATCTTTGCGAGAACAATTTAGATCTGCAAAGTTAATTTATCAAACTGCTTTACGTCGTTCTTCGTCTCGTATCTGAGAAATTTGCTACGAAGTTCAAACCTTCGCCCTCGACAAACTTGTTTTTGGTATCATCTGCCAGCAATTTATTTACGAAGCATCGCTGGAAGCATGTTGGAAATAATCATTCAAATGATATTTGATAAGAAATTTTATTGATTATGTCTTCCTATCGTGTGACGTTCAAATTTCAAGCAATCATCAACGTGCATCGCGGGTTCGCTAGAATAAGTATAATATACAAGAGTTAATGATACATGCTTCCAATTTCTTCAAAAATAACATTCTCCACCGTTTTTTAAACTTTCGTAAGAAACGATGAGAAGTCCAGTTTATGAGAATTATTCCGAATTATGTGAATTATAGTGAGTGTCAATTGACTGTTTTCAGAAATTTCTTCTTCCGAAATTCTTCTTACGTCGTTATTGTAGCAAATGTATATGTTCATTATAATTATCAGCAAATTATAAAAAGGAAGAAAGCCCGAGCTGTTGGCTAGATTTAACACTAGAGCTACCACTTTTATCTTAAAATTTCTATTTCATGTTACATTTTTTCCCCGCAATGATGTAATGCCTTTCGCAGTGATAACTAAAAAAATAATATAATGAATTTTATTTTTTTTTTTTTT